ATACATGTACTTGTATTTCGACATCGTCGGATACCCACGGGTGATCTCGTCTTTTATTCATCACTCCAGTGATGAGTAAAAGACGAGATAAAACGTGGGAAGCAACAGAACAAATTCTTCTGTAATTTTCACATCACAATTCTACTTTAAAGGCTCCAATGCTTTTGGTCAGGAGTGCAACAAATATGTTAGAATTATAAATCATCCAATAAGAATGAAAATAAAGAAAAAATGATGAGGTGAATTTTTCTGGTGGGTTACAGTGTTTGTCCTCTAAAGGAAAATATGCTGTGAAATGTATTTTATCTTCTAAATATATCGCCGAAATATGGCTGAAATATTGCCGACTCGGCGTTAAACAATAATAATCAATCGATCAATCTTCTAAATATACATTTAAGCTAGTTTTTTGGCATAAGTAGGGAATAATTCCAGATAAAATGCATCTGTTTTAATTATGAAGTATTGGACTATAAATATTGCACAATTTCATTACCTCTTGATGTTGCCAACACTTTATGAATTTTTGTGTTCTATGGTTTTAATTTTAAACTTTACTGCAGTCACGAGTGCAAGAAAACTGCTTTATAATTACCAATGCTTTATAACTATCTTTACTAAAAAATAAGTTGAAAAAAAATGTTTGATACTATTTGATGTTCAAAACACTATGTCTATCAACAAATTAGAGAAATTTTACAGGCAATTCAGGGAATAGTTTCATCATTTCACATATATTTTTAAATGCAATTTATATATATTACACTAATTTGCAAATAATCATGTTTTAAGGTCTTCAAAATATGAAAAAACCTGCCGGATACGATAAAAAATATCAAAACGACAAATTAATCTACAAAGTAAGAATGGGTTATTGTGTTTTATAATTTTTAAAACAATGTTAAATAAAATATATATCAGATGTCAGGAGTGCAACACAATAGGGTCACTTCAAAATCTAGTATTTTTTGTAAGAGGACTCGTATAAAAAAATTTTTTTTGGCTTAGATATAAAGAATTGACTTGAACGGACAAAAAAGTGAATTTTGGGGAATTTTATTGCTTCATATTTTTTCATGTTAAAACTTTTCAAACCAGAATTGAAAAAATAATGTAAAATAACAATCAAAAAGCCAATTTTTTCTCACATATACAAGAGAAGATACTCAATCAATTGCAAGGTCTAGATTTAATCATTTATACCCATTTTACCATTTTGAAGCATAAAAAACCATAATTTCTTGTGATTATGTATTTTAGAAAGTCTTTTAAGGTGTAATGATATTTTCTTTTTTCAAAAGAAATTTTACTAATAAAAATTCTGAAACTTTTTAATCCAATTGTCTATTCTATTGCCACTTCAGGATTTTAAACTAGAATGCATGTGCAATATGATGATATAAGTGAAAAATATGTTATAACTAGTTGAATTTTTCCAAAAAATTTCAGTTTGGTGGTCATTTTTTTTAATTCACCCAAATACTGAAATATTTTTATTTATAATCTTAAAGCTATATATGGCGTATCTGAGCTAAAAAAAAAATAAAATTATGAGATTAAGTGTAGATGAACACGATATTTGTTAATTACGTTCAAATTAAAATTTTCACCGATTTTGAACTTGAATAACCCCACGTTTCTATTGTTAAATTGACTTCAAACTGTGTCTGATATTTAAATGATCGGTTATTGTTTTAAATTTCTAATATCTATAAAATGCGATTGATTTAAATTGTGTAATTTACAGGAAAGTCCTATCTTCATATAAAGTAATAAAACAAATAGAAAGATCTTTTTAATTTTTGTTAGTCTGAACTTATCAAAAATACGCTATATATGACTTTAACACTAGGCAAAGGGAGGTCAACATTACCGCTACATTGCCAAAAATTTCAACTCATTACCGCTACATTTCTTCAAATTTTCGGGCGATCATTACCGCTACATTTTGTCAATAGGACTATTGCCGAAAACAACTCATTACCGCTACATATTGAATCAGTCAGGAATGGTACGGAATATGAGTTCTATTCAACATATTTCACTCACCATGTAGTGAAGTACAATTTGGACCTGAATTCTAATAAAAATGAGTATATATAAATCCATATATTTAGCGTCACTGGAACATCATGGCTACTATTGAGAAGTTTGTGACAAATCGCAGCAATACAGGATTAGTTATTGGTAGATAATAAAACTCTTAAACACTCAAAAGTGTGGAGTAGATGTGAAATATGAACATGACCATGAAAAGGGAAAGCAGGTCTTACGCATGTATATTTTATACTTAAAATCAATCTGTACACGCATAAGCGGCTAGCTAACAAAAGAGGCAATGTAGCGGTAATGTATACTTTTAAATGTAGCGGTAATGTAACCTTTTTTGTAGCGGTAAAGACTATGAGCGGTAATGAAAATTTTGAAAATGTAGCGGTAATGATAAGCACACCAGACAAATCGCCTGGCTTCTGGGTTAGGCGTAACGATCTTGAACGCAGCCTTGATGCACGTAGAATTCAAACATTAATTTAGGCTTCGGAAATGTTTCGACAATATCCCAAAGGATTCCACACATACCCCGACGCTTTCGTTACCACCTGTGCCTTTGCCCTCCTCCATGTATACTGAAGTTTGCTGGAAGCCAGCGGACTAAAGCTGTCTTAAAATATGGCATTGTTGAAGAGGTGGCACATTTCAATATTATCAGGCACCATCAAAGAAAGGACATTTTATATCATCATAATTAGTCTGTTAAATAGCTCTTTAATTTGTTTACTAATGGAATGTTTAGTTAAAACATACTTAAAACATACAGACACATGAGGAAAAAAGATACGTTACATTTAAGTACTGACCAGAAGTACAGAGTTCACTGAGAGATTGTGTGACGTTAGAGTATATCACAGATAAGTAAAACCAACAGAATCTATAGAAGGATGTAATACAATTCAACAGAAATATTTAAATTAAAGCTCTTAACTATCACAGAATGAATTAATTCACAACTAATGTACTAAAATATAGACTTTTTCATTCATCCCTGAATATTGCATAGTCCAAATCATCATAGTTATATAGTAAAAAGATCGATAATTCTTCACAATTCTCTGATAATTTTTCATTTCAAATAATTCAAAGACACACGCACTCCAAATTTATACATATAAGCGTTCCTCATTAAATGATTGATTGACTGTATGTTGTTTAACGTCCCGTTCGAGAATTTTGCACTCATATAGAGACGTCATCATATAACGGTGAAGGGCTTCAAATTTAGACTTTTACTCGGCACTTAGGGCCATTGAGCAGTGAGGGTTCTTTATTGTGCCAATACTGTGACACGGGACTTCGGTCTTTAAGGTCTCATCCGAAGGACCCGCAACTTTCACTTCAAAGTGCCGAGCGCTTGGCGAAGGAACAGTTGCTACCTATTTTTTATCGACTTAGGTCAGTCGCGGCCATGATTCGAACACACGACCTTCCGATCACGGAGCGGGCGCTTTACCGACTGAACTACCGTGGCGGCTCCTCATTAAGGAGGCTGGGGGGTCAACAAATTAACCATCAGATGTAACTTAATTTTTTAGATATGATATCTTAAGCTGTCAACTATCATTTGGCAAAGGAAAATTTCATACATTTTAGTTTTAAAATTTGATCATTTTTGTATATCTTTATATGGAACTCTTCTTCTAAAGGAGATCAATATAGTCTGAAAATGGCCACAACCCCCAGCCCTCTTAAATAAAGAGTTGTGAAACACTGAAGGAACACACATTGAGCAGGATATGATTGACTTGTAATAGCTTCTGTTTAAGAGGTAACGTAGTCACCGGTATCTATAACGTAGTATGCAAATGAAAGGTCACTGTTTAAAGGATCACTGTGATAAGGCTGGAAGTCAAAGGAATCGTCACTGTGATAAAAAGATTGTCCGAAGTACAATACTCTGCTGGCCGAGCGTCTACCATTAGCTCCAGACATTCGAAATGACACCCCAGCTAAACGATACCTGAAAGACAAACAGGAACAACTTGAATTATATGACCGTCATCCCTTCGACTGTAATGTTAAAATTGTTTAAACCGGAAGCATGATTTTGGAGAATTTAATTCTTTGAGAAGGAAAAGTATAATTTTTATTTCCAGATGTGCTTTTAAGGCCTAGCTATTCTAAAACCTTACAAACAAAAACTTCATTGTTACTAATCTTGAGTTCCTTCCTTTATGATGTGTCTTTCACTAATTACAATTTTCAAATGTTAATGAGTTTATAACTAATTAGTCATTAACAGTTGAAAATTGTAAATTAGTGAAAGACAAATTTAAAACGACAAGAAATTAAAGTTATTAATAATTGAGTACAATTCTACCTTGTTCCTCCAAAATTTACGTAGGTCGGTAATTCATTGCTAGAAGAGAACGGCATTCTATTTAAGTTGATTGGAAGCACCAATGGTCGTTGACTAGATAAAAGACGGCGGTTTCTGTGTTGAATGCCTTGGCAAATAGTAGTGCTGCAAATAGCAAGTCTATAATGAAATAGGTGAAGATAACGAACAGTGATCAACCTAAAAAAAATCTTAAAAATAAATCAAATCTGTGGGGAGGGCATATAAACAAACTGCATTTGATCCTGACCAATCTTATTTAAATACCCGAGATATTTTGGATGGGTCATCATGCAAAAAAAAAGATGTAAAATGATGTGCGTTAGCAAAATAACATGCAAGTTACATGTTTACAATAGTTTATTCCAAGATGTATATGCTTACTGTGCACCCTTTTTGAAATCCTTTTTTGCTTTTTCATTATATACATACATACATACATACATACATACATATATATATATATATATATATATATATATATATATATATATATATATATATATATATATATATATATATATATATATATATATATATATAAACCAAACTAAATGCAGATGTAGGTGTTCACAGATTGAAAACATATAAATCTTGGAAACACGACACAACCATTGTACTTACCAACTTTCCATACATGTATATGCAAAAGGAATTGAAAATATTGTGCAATACGCAAAATTGCAATATGCAATTTTGAAAAACATTGAACAATGAGATCGTTGACATGTAAAACATCTATCTGTTTCCACGCTATAAAATTCTTATACAATTATAAAGACCATCATTCAAATTTCAACCCTAGTGTGTAATATACAACTGACCTCATTCCTCTAAAGTCCGATTCTTCGGGATTATAAGATAGAATTGGAACATTGCATCTCTCTGTAGTGTGGAACCATTGGTCAATAAAACATTGAAGCGTGTTCATTCTGCCATTCCCAAGATTTCTGATTCTTTCAAATAAAGTTCATGTATATGATACTAGATGAAATCCCGCGCAAGCGCGGAGGATTGAATTTTTACCACTACCGACAGAAAATAAAATTATATATTAGAGTTTCTACTGACAGCCTACAGGCTTATAGCAGGAGGAAATACTATGTTTAAAATCCTGCATGAAGTAGATTTACGTCTCCACCCCTCCCCCTTTTTTTGTAAAAACTTGAATAAATAAATCATTAATTGACGTTTATTGTGAAACCTGTTATACTATGTTAGGGATATTGTACTCCAGATACTATTATTTCATTTCTGTCAAGGATGAAAGCAGCTTATATGCACATTTTACTGATAATTTGATATTTTTTGAAAGGGGGGGGGGGTAAAAATTCACAAGTACTTGGGTCTTGGTATATAAATATGTATGTAACTTATTGATATGTAAAAATGTACTTTACTTTTTTTACATATCAATAAGGTACATGCATATTTATAAACCAATTCCCAAGTACCTGTGTAAAAATTAGCTTGTAACGCCCGATGAATAGGCCGAGTATTTGATACAAAAGACTGTATTCAGAAACAAGAGGCCCATGGGCCACATCGCTCACCTGAGCACATTGGCTAGGCAAAAGCACACAGTTCAGTATTGAAAAGACCGGGGGGGGGGGGGGGAGCTTGAATTTTAAACTACCTGATGATGCTTCCATGTCAATATAACAAATGGCTTTGTTGTACTTGAGAGGATTTTAAAAAAAAATTCCCATATATTCCTTTGTAAAAATTTGATCCCCCATTGTGGCTCCTCCCTATCCCAGGGGTTATCATTTGAACAAACTTGAATCTACACTACCTGAGGATGCTTCCATATCAAAATGACTAATCATGGTTTGCAGTTCTTGAGAAGAAATATTTTTTCTATATGTTCTTATGTTAAACTTTCCATCCCCCATAGGGCCCCACCCTACCCCTAGGGGTCATCATTTGAACAAAATTGAATCTACACTACCTGAGGATGCTTCCATATCAAAATGACTAATCATGGTTTGCAGTTCTTCAGAAGAAGATATTTTCCTTTATATTTCTATGTAAAATTTTGATCCTCCATTGTGACCCCACCCTACCCCCAGGGGGTCATGGTTTGAACAAATTTGAATCTACACTACCTGAGGATGCTTTCATATAAATATGACTCATCATGGCTTTGCTGTTCTTGAGAAGAAGATTTTTAAAGATTTTTCCTATATATTTCTATGTAAAGCTTTGATCCTCCATTGTGGCCCCGCCCTACCCCCGGGGGTCATGATTTGAACAAATTTGAATCTACACTACCTGAGGATGCTTCCATATAAATATGACTCATCATAGCTTTGCTGTTCTTGAGAAGAAGATTTTTAAAGATTTTTCCTATATATTTCTATGTAAAACTTTGATCCTCCATTGTGGCCCCGCCCTATCCCCGGGGGTCATGATTTGATCAAACTTGAATCTACACTACCTGAGGATGCTTCCATATAAATATGACTCATCATGGCTTTGCTGTTCTTGAGAAGAAGATTTTTAAAGATTTTTCCTATATATTTCCATGTAAAACTTTGATCCTCCATTGTGGCCCCGCCCTATCCCCGGGGGTCATGATTTGATCAAACTTGAATCTACACTACCTGAGGATGCTTCCATATAAATATGACTCATCATGGCTTTGCTGTTCTTGAGAAGAAGATTTTTAAAGATTTTTCCTATATATTTCTATGTAAAACTTTGATCCTCCATTGTGGCCCCGCCCTACCCCCGGGGGTCATAATTTGAACAAATTTGAATCTACACTACCTAAGGATGCTTCCATATGAGTTTCATCTTTCCTGGCCCTATGGTTCCTGAGAAGAAGATTTTTAAATGATGCCATAATTTTTTCAGTAATTCCTAATTATCTCCCCTTGAAAGAGGGCGTGGCCCTTCATTTGAACAAACTTGAATCCCCTTTACCCAAGGATACTTTGTGGCAAGTTTGGTTGAAATTGGCCCAGTGGTTCTTGAGAAGAAGTCGAAAATGTGAAAAGTTTACAGACAGACAGACGGACGGACAGACGGACAGACAGACGGACAGACGGACGGACGCCGGACAAAATGTGATCAGAAAAGCTCACTTGAGCTTTCAGCTCAGGTGAGCTAAAAAATGAAATGTATTGATTAAAGCACAAAATTTTACAACTTTAATTGCATTTGAACAATACCTTATTCATTAATTTTCTCTTTTCATATAAGCAAGCTTATTACGAAGTACAAATTGTACTTCGGGTTCGTTGCCATGACGCTCTCAGTGAGGAACATATACAAATTTTACCGATAAGGCGATATATTTATTAGGAAAACCTACTACATGCATGTATATGTAATAGTCTCTCGGTATATAAATATATTCACAACTTATAGTGTTATCAATGATTTACCATTATTTCAATGACCATTTACAGAAAAGCTTTTTCATGTTCATGCAGCTATAATCGCCTCGTTTTTCTTTTTAACCTCGGGCTCGATGCTATATGATGTTCCATAAGCTTCCGTCATTATTAAGATCGGTGAATGACAAAAATAATTTGCACATTTCCCTTTTCAATCTGTTATCACAACTTATTTCTATAATATCATTTAAATCAAGTTTTGATTGAATAAATCAATGATGGCTTTTTATGAAATAATTGAACGATTGCTTATTGTCAGTTTCATTAAAAATTGCCAGTAACTTGGATCCGCCAACCGGAAACGCCACCGTACTCATATTTTTGCTATTTCATGGCTGTTTATAGAAAATGAAAGTAGACTTTTAATTTAATGTACAATACTTACAATGCGAGTGAAATCTAAGTATACTTTAGTTACTTTATTTAGTTTTTATTTGCAAAATTTATTAAGATGCATTTATAATGTTATGAGTGAAAATTCCTTGTCTTACTTCTATGTGAATTATTTGATGTATCTCAGTGTAGTCTACTTTTGTGCAAAGTTATAAGAGATCTAAACTGTAGGAGTAGTAGCGTTTTAAAGGAATTTTACAGTAATGTCTATTTTTAGTAAACATGGCAACACCATTATTCCAAATAATAAAAAAAATACACAGAATTATTTATCTGAGTTTGAAATCTTGTGTCAAAGTCATATTCAAATCAGTCCAAAACTGTAGGAGGAGTAACGTTTTGAAAGTACTAGTATTTCATAAATATTACTATTTTAGTAACCATGGCAACAACGCTCAACAACCCCCCCCCCCCCCCAATGATAAAAAGAATTTATGAAGTAAACGTTATGGTACTACTTTCTATTATGTGGACGGTAAAAGTTAATTTTCTAGATTTTAGACCATAATATATATCATTGATAAAATGATAAAAAATAGCATCAGTATTGAAATTAAATCCATAAATTTACAAAGAGAATCTTGAAGAATTTTGTACACATTTTAACGTATATTTGAAAAGTTTACCTTCCAAGGACTACGTTGACATGATTAAAGCTCTCATTAGACGATGAACAGTTTGGATTATCACAATGTCTATGTACAACGCTAGAAAAGTCAAATGCTGGGAGCACCATGTGACCCTCATCTTGTCCATTTTCCAAAGATGCACCTAAGTGTCCGACCCATTCCCTGATGGCAGCTTCATAATTACCTTCATGGTAAAGTTGAAAAATCCTATACAATGTCTGGAAAGTGTATTTAAGAAACTCGAGAAAATGATTGGAATTTTTTTTCTGAGAAGTAAAAAATTAATAATATAAACACAATTTAAAGAAAAAGAATAAAGAAAACGTAGATGCTGTCATAGGGCAGTAATGCCAGCACATAAGTGTTTGCTTCTAAGTTTGAATGTACTCTCCCTTCTACCTGGCAGGTAATGCATATGAAAAACCACAATAAATTACATAAAATGTGCATAAAAATATATACATTTATGGAATTTAACAAAAGAAAAAAAAATGCACTGAGAGCATCTCGCCTATAGGCCTTCTGTGCCAGTATTTCAACGACAAACTCATTACTGGTCATTCTCACAATGTCAACGTTTTCTGATTTCGGAACTCCACACAAACGTTTGTGTGGAGTTCCGAAATCACAAAACCTTGACATTGTGAGGATGATTACTGGTCTGAAAATTAATAGTTTCCTTCAAGAAAGATTTTCTGTAATATATATATATATATATATATATATATATATATATATATATATATATATATATATATATATATATATATATATATATAAGTTGGTGAACCTATTCATGTTGTTGTTAAAGCAGCATAATGGTAGGGCGCTCACTTCGTGATCGGGAGGACCGGGTTCGATTCTTGTTCGCGGCGCCGCGTCATATCTAAGACTTTAGCAAATTTGTTCAGTGAACATGGGGCAGCTAGACAGATTTAATATTTATTGCTGCCGTAAAAACTTTCAATCTAAGAAGCGTCTTTATGAAATGATTAAACTTAATTTTCACACGATACGGATAATCTGTATTTCCATGGAACAAAAATAAATAAATAAAGTAAAAGTAGTTAAAAAATGATCGTGTAGGGTGTTTTTGGTGAGTCGGTCGGAGTACACCAAATAATTTTTTATTGTTGCCCTCACCACATATGTAAGGGGGATGTGAACTCTCAAATCATTATCGGCCGCAGCAGCGGCCGATCTATTTGTGGTTGTGTTAGAATATGCACATGGGGAAATGAGACGTTATTTTTTTTATTGCTTCTTTGGAATAATTCTTTATTGATAACAAACATAAAAGTTACGAATAAAAGCCTTTTAAAAAATGCTTTTAACTAAGTCTAAATATTTTGTTATCATGTTTCAATTTGTTTTTCATTTCTCGTCAGATATTTATTGATTTAATGATTTTACAAAAAGTTCTTCATGAACTGCTCCCAAACAAGGGCGTGCGTAAGATATAAAAAGAAAACGTATTGAGTTTCGAATCTGAATTACAATGCCTAAAATAATTAATAAATTGAAAAAAGTACTGAGTTTTGAATTTACAATGCAGTTGCAAGTGACACAATGAATTTTTTTCTGCACTTCACATACATATCTATCACAACACTGATCGGCATTATAAATTGGCAAAAATCCAGGGTATCAGCACGTGAAGCTTGTGTCCTTTTTCTCGGCATTATGATATTCATAATCAATTATTTTAGATATTTGTTGTATTTGTCCTTGAATCAAATATTTTGATGACATACGTTCCTACCCTTTATTGCAGTCTGATTTTCATAGTAATGAATTTATTTTTATTTTCATCAATATTTAACAATTGATCACTGAAAACTAGTGTAAAAAATGTACAGAAAAGTAAAGCAATTGTAAAAATGTATCATATACTTTTTCTATTTGAATTTTTTCTTTGGACTCTTTTCTTGTGGATATTCTTCAAATGAAATATATTTTTGCGGCCGATTTGATGCTTGGCATCAATTTAACTTGTTCATTTTGTGGCTGTAAGAAAAGACACACAGCTCAATATTTCGACAACTTCTACAAGGTACTTGACCTTTGAGCTCTGACCTGAAGCAAGATTACAATACAAGACCTATCCGTGTACATGTAATTTGAAACACAGATTTTTTTTATGCCCCTGTATCGAAGATTCGGGGGTATATAGTTTTTACCCTGTCCGTCCGTCTGTCTAGCTGTCTGTCTGTTTGTCCGCAAAAACTTTAACCTTGCCTATAACTTTTGATTGGTTGGAGCTACGACTTTCATATTTCACGGTGTATTCCTTGTGACAAGACCTTTATTTGCGTACCATCATTTTTGACCTTGACCTTGGAGTTTGACCCACTTTTGCAAAATTTTATGAGACTAACTTTGGCCTTAACTTTTGAACAGTGTGTGCTTGGAGTTTCAATCTTCACATATGTAATCCTTGTGACAAAACCTTCCTTTGGATACCAACCACTTTGACCCTTTCACCTTGACCTAGGAGTTTGACCTACTTTTGAAAAACTTTAACCTTGGTCAAAACTTTTGAACGGTTGGTGCTAGGGCTTTCATACTTCACATATGTAATCCTTGTGACAAGACCTTCCTTTGGATACCAAACATTTTGACCTCTTGACTTTGTCCTAGGAGTTTAACCTTCTTTTGAAAAAGTTTAACCTTGGCCATAACTTTTGAATGGTTGGTGCTAGGGCTTTCATACTTTACATATGTAATCCTTGTGACAAGGCCTTCCTTTGGATACCAACAACTTTTGCTCTTTGACCTTGACCTTGAAGTTTGACCTACTTTTGAAAAACTTTAATCTTGACCATACCCTTTTAAACATCTGGTGCAACGGCTTTCATACTTCACATGTGCATTCCTTGGGACAAAACTTTCCCTTGGATACCATCAATTTTGGCATTGACCTTGACCTTGGAGTTAGACCTACTTTTAAAAAACTTTACTTTAGCCATAACATTGTAACGTTTGGTTCTAGGGCTTTCACATTTCACGAACATGTGTATCACTTTTGACAAGACGTTCACTTGAGGCCCCAATTGACCTTGAGTTTGAAATTTTACTAACTTTTATAAACCTTTAACCTTCGCCATAACTTTTGAACAGTTGGAGCTAGGGCTTTCAAATTTCACAGGTCTATTTCTCGAGACAAGACCTTTCTTTGGGTACCAACATTTTTATCATTTGAGAAACTTTAAACTTTGTCATTAGCTGCCAAATGGGGGCATCAGTGTTTCACAAACACATCTTGTTCGGTTTGTTCCCGTTTTGCACACATTTGAATTTCAAGTATTGAAAAAATGTGTGCAAAACGGGAGTTTTCCCCGGTGAGTTAATAACTAAATTGCTATAGTCTATACAATAGTTGTGAATTTGGAGAAAGAGAACCTACGTAAAAAATAGGAAGAAAAAAATGATTTATTTAGAATTTGATATTTTGATTCATTTCTGTATTTTCATAAGAAGAATAAACTATTTTAAAACATGAAAAATATCATAAATACTTATTATAACAATAATTTAATCACTCATTTAAAAAGGGACGAATTGTGATAAGGATATTTGTTTAAATTACATGTATCAACTTCATCTTCAGTTCGGTTGGACAAGTTAAATTTTGAAAATTTATTTTTTTTAAATATGTATCAAAATGTATTGGTAAAATACAGCAGGCATGTTCACGAAGCTATCTTAGGACTATTATGTGTCCTAAGAACGTCTTAAGAAATATCTTAGTCTTAAGTCAGTTTCTCGAAGCTTTCCTAAATCTAGGACCTCGTCATAAGTTCGTCCTAACTTTAGGACAACATAAATCATATCCTAAGATCATCCTAAGTTGGTGATGCTTATTTTTCTGAGCATCGCAAGTACATGTATAAGCGACAGTTTTGCGTTCCTCAACAGTCTGCGTATTAGCAGACATGGCTGTAGGAACCGGGAGGCACGGGGGCTGCAACCCCCTCAAATAATTTTGCCGAAATATAGAATATTATAGAAAGCATAGCTACTATTTGCTTGTGCCCTCTCAATAATTGCGTCTGATGACCTTTTTTTTTTTGCTTGTCAAGGAATTTTTGGAAGATGATAGTGCCCCCCCCCAACTGAAAATATATAGCTATGCCCCCCCCCCCCCTTCCAAAAAAAAGAAAACTGAAATTGCTTCCTACGGGCCTGGCTAAGGAATTACACAAATCATTTTTTCACATATGTTATCCAAAGCCCTCTTCTTTGCAACATTAGTTACAATGTTCGATAATCTATTTTTTCCACTTCATCAAAAATCACCTGAATTTTGCACTTGAAAATTTTCACTTCCTCTTCTTATTCATAATGCAGTAATGCAGGCACGTCAGATCCCTTTTTAAATTGGGGAAGGGGGCAGAGAAATAATTGACTTTTAGGGTGAGGGGGCAGGAAAATATAATTGACTAGACGAAAAATGAAATTCCCTGAAAAACTTTGACATAAAAAAAAATGACCGCACTCAAAAACCTTCTTACATGTAATGTGGGATGGGGGTGGGGGGTTGGGGGCGTCCATACTCTCCTGAATAAAAAAACAAAACAAAACAAAACAAATCAAAAAAAAAAAAAAAAAAAAAAAAAAAAAATATTCCTACACGTTTTATGTGTATGGGACTAAAAGTGAAAATTATTTTCTTATTTTTATCTATCGCCTTGATATAAGCAAATCGGGGAATATTGTTTTGATTTACATCAATTTAAAACTGTTGAGAGTTCCAAGACTCGGGAGATTAAGCATTGCCTTTAAAATAATGAAACATTTCCCTGTTTGAATACTATGGTACATGGTTTCGAGCCCTGCAAAATTCATTTCATATTTTTTTTTCAGTTTATTTTTCAAAAAATAATTTACTTTTATTATACGTCATATCATAATCTTCATTGTGGTAAATTACTGTATTAAAGATTATTTTTTTTATCTTTTGAGTTATCCAACATATTGTAAATATTATTTCTGAAACACCGTTTTTATAATAAAAATGAAATTAAATCTTTCACTTTGATAGAAAAAATTCGCTTGTTTCGTTGCGACTTACATGGGGTATTTAATATATATATATATATATATATATATATATATATATATATATATATATATATATATATATATATATATATATATAAAAATAATTTTAAAGATGTAAACATTAAAATTATACTGAAGTCACCATGTACATGTAAACGGATAGATTTTTGTTATGTAATATAGAAGTTTTTTTTTTTTGGCTGCAAATGTCTCCCAAATTTTTAGTATAATTAGAAACAATTGTGTTCATCGTATGTTAGGATATCCTAACTTAAGATGTTCTTAAGATACCGTCGAGCTACATCTTATGATATGCCCTAAGTATAGTTCTTAGGATGTTCCTAACTTTCTTCCTAAGTCATAACTTAGGAACAATCTTGGGACGTATCTTAGGAAAGTTTTGTGAACATGCCTGCAGGTAATTCTAGGTAGATCCCAGATGGAGATCAGACTATAATTGCTATCAAAAAATATTTCACTCCTATTGTTTTATACCTAATAATCAAATGTGTGCAAAACAGGAACACACCATTTTTTCAACTCAATCGTCAGTAATTATCAATACAATGGATTACAAGTTGTGTTGTATACTAGTGTGTAGTTCACATGCATAATCCCATACCGTCCAAACATCATAGCAACAAAAGCGCATACACTTGTATAGTATTCCCAGAAATTATTGAGAATTAAATTTTTTTCGATGCTTTTATCTAAAATGTTGGATTAATAACATACAATGTAATTTAATGTTACTATTTTATTTAATGACAATACCCTGTACTTTCTAATGATACATACAGTTTTCATGGATAGCCTCTCATTTATTTTATATTCTACCTGTTGACTGCTATTAAACAATAGGAAGCCTATTTAAATCTGGTCATATTTCTGAAACACCGAATATTGTATTGTGTGATACAGAATATTAAAAAAGAAGAGGAATTCAGTTAAGAAAAATAGTTTGCAGGCCAAATAAATTAACATTCACGAATAAGAAGGCTTGGATATTTGCTCAGTAAGAGCAACAATATGTGTAGTAAAAATGGGGTTTCATTCCTAGCCCTACCAGCTCTTTCCTTTTGCTAAATTCCTAAATTCATTTTTCAATAGTTTGTCCCAAGTGAATCAATATTACACAGTGGAATACTCGGTATTTCCGAAGTATCGCCAGCTTTGCAATTCTTTGATAATCAACATCTACAACAGGCTTTCATTTTTCTATAGCTCTCATTTTGAACATAAGCAACTGACAGGGAGTATAAAAAGAAACCGGTGAGTATAATGAAAACTGTATATAAAATAAGAAAGTTGCAAGCATTGTCATTTAATAAAAAAACTGCTTTCAACTAAATATTTTTTTTTAAAAATATTTTGAAAAAAAAAAAAAAAAACATTTCACGAAAAAATTCTCATTTTTTGGGAACACTATATATATAGGAGATTCTAGATGACATTTAACCTACCCGATAGACAATTCTTGTTGAGGTTCCAAGCAGGCTACGGAGACAAAAGTCCTCTGTCATGGTATATACCATTATTGTAAGAAATTCACCAACTACAGTGCAAGTTTTATAATATTATTAACATTTAATTCATCGCACAGTGATATATTAACTGTTTTTTTCTCAATCATCCATAGACTCCTTGATAATGCTTGATAATTGGAAAAGAAACACATATTAAGCAAACAATAATCGTATCATTGTCGAATCTTAAAACTTAACAGACTAATTTTCACTATGGCTACTCAAAGTATCTTATCAAAATACAAATTTGTAGAAATAAGTATACAATGATAACTTTGAACTTAAGGATGAAATATATGGAGACAACGAACAGTATTTAGCTGAAAAGTCTATTAATTAAGGGTCCTCCACACCCCGTGACTTGTGACGTATATCGAGAAAAAATACTTTTACTTCCGGTTTTATTTAAGAAATGAATTTAATTTTTTGAAGATTCATGAGGACATGAACTACGACTACGACGCTTCACGCCGGCATATTTCATGAAGCGCGTTAGCGCTTCATGATAAATATGCCGGCGTGAAGCGTCGTAGTTCATGTACCTCATGAATCTTCAAAAATTAAATTCATTTCTTATATTTACATTATTTTTCTGATGAGTTGCCACAAATTCCGCCATTCAACTGTCATTTTTTAAAGCAAAATAGTTTGCACTATACTTTTGACGTCAAGTGCGGTATTATGACGTAACAATGGAGATATTCATGCTCATTCATGGTAGTTCATGAGAAAATGAACAGTCTTCTAATTTGCAAAGAATATTAAGTAAAAATGTTTGGGAATGTAAATATTATAGTTTGTGCGCTGACGATTTGACTTGCACCGCCTGTAAAGGCCGGTTTACACGGTAATACCTGTCGTATACAACTTGTCGTTTACAACTTTTGTAATATATTCCTTATATGTCTACACGGTAAAAACAGGTTTACATTCCACTCTTTTGTTATTTAAACAAACAAAACGCCCCTTTGAAGAAGTACAGCTTTTTTTTTTCATTTTGTTAATTCTGGACTTAGATTTAAGTAATAGACAGCATTATTTTGTTATATTTCTTTCGAAAAACTGATGAATTGATCAACTCTCATCGAAAACGAGGAGAAGACAGGTAGAAAGTCCCTCAGCGTTCTTTCTCAGTTTATCTTTCCTACCCAAATATATGTATTGATATAACTGGTATGACATTGGTATATTTTCTTTAGATATTAAGGTTTTGTCAAAGGAAGAGTATGCAGCCAACCGAGAGCGACACTCTGATCATAAACAATGAACACATGGCATGATCACGCCGTGACCGAAAGAAGAAAAAGTGTCGATCTTTTTCAATAAAAAACAGCAGACATTTGAGATTTTGTTGCATAATGATTCGTAAATAACAGGTATATCTACTCGAAAACGTTTAAGTTTATTATACTTTCAGGCTAATAAATCCATTGCGATATCGTCAACAAGACTCTTGTGAAAAGTTGATATTATTGTACACTGATTTGTGCGTTTAAATAATAATTTTTGTTTGATACATATTTTTCAAAGTGCGTTAAGTGTCTCCATGGTAAAAAAAATGTTAATGTACACTCTTAACGCACTTTGAAAAAAATTTCAAAGTGCATTGATTTTGTCCCAATTTTAACGCACTTTGAAGAAATTTATCAAAGTGCGTAATTTTTGTAGTGCGTTGCCACATATGCACCATAGTAGTCTCATTGTGTGTTTATAAATATTGATAAAGTGTGCATTTCTAGTTTTGCTCATTTATATCTGTCCTGTTCAGTTGTGAATAACGAGTTACTGAGTACATGTATGATGACGTATGCGGAGACTTACCAAAGTTTTTGAGTACTGGGTAACAGGAAAGATAACTCTCAAAACGGAACTTCGATACCACAGATTTTGAAAATAATTTTCCCTATTCAATAAATTTGATTTTGATTCAATTTTTTGTTGTTATTTAATTCATTAATGTTTCTTCTATACTATCAGGAATCTTCCATAATTTTTTCTCCATGAATTTTAGAGGTAAATGAGTTATATTTATTTTTTATAACTTTGATTAATTTTTAAAAAAAATATCCTCAGTGATAAAATTAAGTTTTTGTGATTGTTTTCTAGGCTTAATAATATACTCCAGGAGAACACAAAATTTGTTGTGCTACTTATAAAAACTCGGTGGGGAAAAAATCTTAAAACTTATGAAATTAAATTTTAAAAAAACCAGTGTAAATCATATTTCAATTCTTGGCCAGTTTTTAAAGGTTGATATGCTTGTTAAAAGTAATGCTCAGTAATATGAGAACATAACTTGGGGGTGTGTGGAGGACCCTTAAACATTACAAAGTAGGTGCAGAGCAAACACGGACCTCCAAAACATCAGACGTGGGATCAGGTGCCATGGAGGAGCGAGCATCCCCTGCCGACCGGTCACACCCGCCGTGTGCTCCCTGTCATGATCGGGAAATAACGGAAAAATCCGTCGACATACAAAATCTACTAGTTTATAGTTACAAATTCTTACTTTGACTACCTGCTACATCCGATGACTGCAGAGTGGGGTCTGTCTGAACAGGTACAACCTGTCTTGATAGTCGAGGTCGTTGGACATCAGGTGGTAGGTTCAGAAGCTGCCGTGGTATATGCTGCCTGTTACAAACTAAAACGTGTTGGTTGTTTAAACTACATATTTCAGTACATTGTGCTATTGGTCTAGATGGCCTGTCATTGTTTTGCTGGCGGTTACTTGAGGTATTAAACTCACGATTCTGATTCGAGTGAGATGACGGTGCATGGTCTGTCTGGTTTTCAACGGGATATACTTGAATGTAAGAGAAATAAGTATTGTCAATAACCTTAGAGTGACACACCAATACTGAATCCCCCAGCCATCAACCCACAATTACATTTTGATCAGTTCATTATATCTGAATAACACATGAAGAATATGTAGTCCATTCGATCAGTAAATTTGAATTGACAGGCAATAATGTATCACAACCTCAGAAATGGAAATATTAGTTTATAGTTACAAATTCTTACTTCAATTTATGACTACCTGATATATCCGATGACTGCAGGGTGGGGTCTGTCTGAACAGGTACAACCTGTCTTGATTGTTGAGGAAGAGGTTGGACATCAGGTGGTAGGTTCAGAAACTGCCGTGGTATATGCTGCCTGTTACAAAGTAAAACGTGTTGGTTGTTTAAACTACATATTTCAGTACATTGTGCTATTGGTCTAGATTGCCTGTCATTGTTTTGCTGGCGGTTACTTGAGATATTAAATCCACGATTCTGATTCGAGTGAGATGACGGTGCATGGTCTGTCTGGTTTTCACCATGAACGGGATATACCTGAATGTAAGAGAAATAAGTACTGTCACTGGTTAAGCTACCGTCGTATGGTTTCCTTAATATCCCGTCAAGTCCAAAAAATTTCGATCTGAGCTTCTCATAATAGAAATAATGGGTTGAAAGTACGTAAACAAGCCATAAAACTGACACACAAATACTGAATCCCCCAGCCATCAACCCACAATTACATTTTGATCAGTTCATCATATCTGAATAACACATCAAGAATATGTAGTCCATTTGATCAGTAAATTTGAATTGACAGGCAATAATGTATCACAACCTTCACATGAAATCTAGGATTTTGAATTCACGTTTAAAACATTACTACTTTCGGTTTCGGTAAATATTTAAAAGTTCTAAAAATGGACATGAGACTTTTTATCGCTAAAAATAAATTAAAGCTATATATGGCGTATCTGAGCTAAAAATAAAAATAACAAGAGGCCCGTGGGCCACATCGCTCACCTGAGCACACTGGCTAGGCAAAAGCACAAATCAGTAAATCAGTTCAGTATTGAAAAGATTACTACCGGGGGGGGGGGGGGGTGTTGAATTTTAAACTACTTGATGATATTTCCATGTCAATATAACAAATGGATTTGTTGAACTTGTGAAGATTTAAAAAAATATTTCCTATATATTCCTTTGTAAAAATTCGATCCCCCACTGTGGCTCCTCCCTATCCCAGGCGTCCACAGGCGCTTGACGTTTTTAACCTTTCTTTCCATAAATAAGAAATCCCCCATGCTATAATAATAACAAGGTTCGTCACGGTCGCCATCTTGAATTTTTCAGTTCAGCTACTTCGCCTCGATTTTTAGTCTACAATGTGTTTAAAATTAACGGATACAACCGTTTCCCTCAAGTACTTACTTTAACTATGCCTCCACTTTTGGGCAATTCAGCTCAAATCACATTAAATCCTCTCTAATTCTTAAAATGTCGCTTCATACTCAGTCTACTGCTACCGATTCCGTAAAACTTAGAAAAGAGAGGCCGGAAGTTGACTTTCCCCTATTGTGCCCCCCCCCCGGGTTCATCATTTTAACAAAATTAAACCTATACTACCTGAGGATGCTTCTATATCAAAATGACTAAACATGATTTTCTGTTCTTGAGAAGAAGATATGATATTTTCCTATTTGTTTCTATATAAAATTTTTGATCCCCCATTGTGGCCCCACCAGATCCCCAGAGGTCATCATTTTAACAAACTTCAATTTACACTACCTGAGGATGCTTCCATATTAATATGACTCATCATGGCTTTACTGTTCTTTAGAAGAAGATTTTTAAAGATTTTACCTATATATTTCTATGTAAAACTTTGATCCTCCCCCAGGGGGTCATGATTTGAACAAACTTGAATCCACACTACCTGAGGATGCTTCCATATAAATAAGACTCATCATAGCTTTGCTGTTCTTTAGAAGAAGATTTTTAAAGATTTTTCCTATATATTTCTATGTAAAACTCCATTGTGGCCCAACTCTACCCCAGGGGATCATGATTTGAACAAACTTGAATCTACACTACCTGAGGATGCTTCCATATAAATATGACCAATCACGGCTTTGCTGTTCTTGAGAAGAAGATTTTTAAAGATTTTTCCTATATATTTCTATGTAAAATTTTGATTGTCCATTGTGGCCCCGCCCTACCCCTCTGGGTCATGATTTGAACAAACTTGAATCTACACTACCTGAGGATGATTCCATATTAATATGACCAATCAGGGCTTTGCTGTTCTTAAGAAGAAGATTTTTAAAGATTTTTCCTATTTATTTCTACGTAAAACTTTGATCCTCCATTGTGGCTTCGCCCTACCCCTGGGGGTCATGATTTGAACAACTTGAATCTACACTACCTGAGGATGCTTCCATATTAATATGACCAATCAGGGCTTTGCTGTTCTTTAGAAGAAGATTTTTAAAGATTTTTCCTATATATTTCTACGTAAAACTTCGATTGTCCATTGTGGCCCCGCCCTACCCCTGGGGGCCATGATTTGAACAAATTTGAATCTACACTACCTGAGGATGCCTCCACATGAGTTTCATCTTTCCCGGCCCTGTGGTTCTTGAGAAGAAGATTTTTAAAAGATGCTATTAATTTTTCACTTATTCTTAATTATTTCCCCTTGGAAGAGGGCATGGCCCTTCATTTGAACAAACTTGAACCCCCTTCACCCAAGGATGCTTTATGGCAAGTTTGGTTGAAATTGGCCGAGTGGTTCTGGAGAAGAAGTCGAAAATGTGAAAAGTTTAATGACAGACGGACAGACAGACAGACAGACGGACTACAGACAAAATGTGATCAGAAAAGCTCACTTGAGCTTTCAGCTCAGGTGAGCTAAAAATACGAGATTGAGTGTAGATAAACATGACATATGTTATTTACGTTGAAATTAAAATTTTCACCGATTTTAAACTTGAATAACATCATGTTTCCATAGTTAAATTGACTTTAAACTAGGTCTGTGATTTAAAATGCGGAGTCGGTAAATATATTGGTTATTGTTTTAAATTTCTAATATCTTTGAAACGAGGTTGATTTAAATTGTGTAATTTACAGGAAAGTCCTATCTTTATATAAAGAAATAAATAAATAGAAAGATCTTTTTAATTTTAGTTAGTCTGAACTTGGAAAAAATACGCCATTTATGACTTTAATGTATCAATTGAACTGAAATGGCAAAACACAACTTCTCAGAACATTTTCCACTTCTTCTCTAATGAAGCAATTTTAATTAATTTTAGCAATGTAGCATTAATGAGTGAAAGGGAACAAAATTTGTGAATTTCAGGATCTCTTATTCCTAGGGCCTGAGGGGTGGGGCTATAACCATCAAAATTAATGCAATCTTTAAAAACCTTCTTTACTCCTGGACAGTAAGCAGTTGAACTGTTGGCATGATTCTAATAAACATGTATTAAACATTGACCCCTCTACCAAAATTGTGATACTCATGGCCCCAAGGTCAGGGGTTTAAGGCGGGGCTCTAATGATCATAAATTGAAAATGCATGAATTCTTAAAGTCCTTTTCTCTACCCCTAAAACGGTCAGTAGGCTTTTGTGCGTTAGCTTTGTGATCGGTAGGCCCGGGTTCGATTCTCGTTTGCCGTTCCGCGTCAAACCTAAGACGTAAACCTAGGTATTGACTGTTCCTTTGCCAAGTGCCCGCACTAGAAGTGAAAGTCACGGGTTTTTTGGATGAGACCTTAAAAAACGAGGTCCCGTTTCACGGTAAGCGTTGGCACGATGAAGAACTCTCGCTGCTTAATGGCCCTGAGTGTCGAGTATAGGTATAAACTTTGAACCCTTCACCGGTATATGGTGACGTCTCTATATGTGTGAAAAATTTTCGAATGGGATGTAAAACAACATATAATGTATCAGTCAATCTCTATCCCTGTATATTCAGCAGATAAACTAAGTGCATGACCATGGTTATGATAAGAAAGGTTGCCTCTTCCAAAATTGTAAAATTTCTGGCCCCAGGGTCTGGGTTCGGGGGAGGGGCTCTGTTGATTATGTAGTAAAAGTGAATTAATTCTTTCTTTCAAAAAACTTTTTCTCTGCTCTCATGTATTAATAAGATCTTTAGTAGAAGTTTTTTTTTTTTGAAGATGATTCCTACACTGAAAATCTAAGTTAGTCACTAGGACCTAAAAAATAATCAGTTTGATTGTCCTACAGACGAGGGTGCAGTTAGTCATTTGATAATATATTGAACTCATTTTGACGACAGGAGAAAAATCACACTGACTAATGCCTACAAAAAATTATCTCTTTTGAAAAAATTAAAATTTAAAGTAAATCGAAAAACTCTCTCACTCATGTATACGTCATTTATAAGACCGCAACTTGAATACGCTTCAGTGGTATGGGGATGCTGTCAACATAGTGATAACGATAAGTTAGAAAAATTGCAACGTTATGCTGCTAGAATACGTTCTATTTCCACTATGGAAGAGTTATACTTCTTAGTGCGCTCTTTTGTGAAAAAGTCGGAAAATGTACAAATCTCGCGGGATTTCTGGGACAAACGTAACATAAACATGTAAACAATATGTTGTATGTCGATGAACAAATCCTAAGAAAATGCAAATGAAATATTTTATTGTTGTGATTTTTATCTACATCAAGAGTAGGAATGACAACGATATCAATTTATATCTATTGTTGATCGTATATATCTATTTATCGTATGGTACCTCTAAATATAATACACATGCCTCGGAAATATCATACTTTTTATTAATGGATGACAAATTAAGGGTTCTCGCTCTCTTACATATGTCTTTTAGTTCTTCTATTCTTTAATTGGAATGACAAATACATTTAACATTTGAAATTGGAGTGAGATTGGAATGGTTTGTATTATCCCCATCGCCATGCTGTCCCAGTCAGACGACCAAACGCGCCTCTAATTTTGAAGAGTTCACTAATGGAAATGGAACGTAATATATGTAACAGGGTTAAGAACTATAGCTTCTAAAGATTCAATATACTTTGAAACGGGATGGGAGCCTCTTAGTTGTAGAAGACAAGAAGCTAGAATAAAAACTATGTTCAAGCTTCATAATAATTTAGTGCCTGAATACTTAATGGACATACTTCCAGATATGCGCTGTAACACATCTATCTACTCTACAAGAAATTCTCAAAATTATGATATTCCAAAATGTCGATTACAAACTTATAAGTCTACATTTATTCCGACAGTAGTTAATGAATGGAACTAAATTCCACTCGAAATTCGAAATTTACAGTCAATATCAAAATTCAAATCTAAAATTAGTACTAAAAAATCTGCTCCACCATCATACTTTGATTATGGTAACAGACGACTAAATGTTCTTCAAACCAGACTACGGCATAATTGCGTATTGAATAGCGACCTTTATAGATGCAATTTAATATCAAGTCCTTTATGCTCGTGTAGTAAAGTTGAGGATACATATCATTATTTTTTTTGTATGTCCAAAGTATGAGAAAGCCAGAAAAGAATTTTTAAATAAATATTTCCAAATTGACAAGATTCACATGTCTTATTATGGGGGTAGATTCATTGAATGCTGCAGAAAATGAACGTCTCTTTTCTTTTGTTCCAACTTTTATTAAACATTCTGGTAGATTTCCTTGTTAGCATTAATTAATGTATCAGTATATGCATTTGTACAAAATTAAGTGTATCTATATATCAGCAAAATGCATTGATTTGTAAACTTTTGCAAATATTGTATACTTTAA